TTAAAATTGAAATGTATCTCGACACATTATACAGTATCCTTTTAGTAATAACTAGAATGATATTCATGCAATGCAACGAGATACATCTTGATTTTTAGTGTTTCATTTTATACTTTGGGTCTATCGATGTTATAATGCGATTGTATGTGGTTTTGATAAAAAAAATGTTTTTATTTTTGAATGAAATATAAATTTGAAGATATTATAAATTTTGAAAAAAAAAATTTATATTAGTATCAAATTAACTATTTAAAAGTTCATTTTTTTATAATTTATTTAATTCAATTTTTTGTTATAATTTAACTGAAATTTAAAAACAAACTCATTTATTTTCGGTTTTAATAAAACAATTTTTTTCTGTTAGAATTCAATAATTATCTTAATTATATTTTAAATTTTATTATATTTAAAATGAGGTTTATCATGTATTTGATTATGTTTATCTACAGTTAATTATATGAATTCAAAATTGAACTTTAATAATATGTAGTCGTACACATTCTACTTGTAATCTTGAATTTTAAGTAATATTAATCAATAAGTAGTATTTCATGTATAAAAGATGATTTTAAAAGTTTTATCAAATGCTTTATAATATAGTATAAATAAATATAATGAGTAAATATAGTTTATAACATGCATGTCAAATTCAAAATTATAATACGCCTAAATTTGATTTTAATTGTAATTGTAATTAAAAACATTTATTATCTAAAATTGAAAAAAAAAATCATAATAATTTTTAACGGAAAATTGGTATTGACCCTTGGAGTTGTTTGAATCTGGTTGCGAAATAACGCATATAATTATGATTGACAAAGCCTCGATTGCCATCTTTTTCTTTTGTAGATAAGATTGAATTCCACCTTCAAAACTTTGTAAGTTCATATTTTTTAAAAATCAATTTATGATTCGTTTGCTAAACACTTACGTGGTAAATTTTTTATTGAATCATTTACCTTACAGGATGAAAATGACAAAGGTCGAGAATATTATTTAGAAAGGTCGTTGATAAAGATGAAGTCTTACCTGGTAAATGAGGGTGACGACTCTTATCAGGTAAACACTTACCAGGTAAATTGTTACGTACCATACCGTTTTAATGAACTACAATCTTACTCCGTAAAGTAAAATATGAGTCATTTACCAAACGCTTAACCAGTAAGAACTTACCGGAAGACATCGCTCTCCCTTACCTTGTACGTAACATTTTTGGTCATCAAAATTCATTGTTGGTAAGCATATTAAACAAGATAAGCATTTACCGGGTAAAAATATACTACAACAAGAATGGTTTATAGGACGCTTAAAATGTTTAAGCGTCTTAATAACATATTTTAAATGCCAAAGTTTATAGAACCAAACAGTAAAGGGTTATATCTAAAAGTGTTACAATAGGTTTATAAGTCACTTTTAAGCATTTTTACAAGTTTTTTAGGACTCTTTCAACATAAATTGTCGTATTAACTATTTTATAGGATACTTTGAAGAAGTGTCCTACAAGCCAATCTTTTTATAAAACCTTTTTGATTATAGGACACTTTTTCAATAGGGTCTTATTATATAGCTAATATGACACTTCATTATAAAGTGACCAAAAAACATTGTTAAAACATCTAAACGCATCATATAAACTTATTGCAACATTTTTAGATATGACACTTTATAATTTGGTCCTATAAACTGAAGTACTATAAATTATGTTATTAGGATGATTAAAACATTTTAAGCGCCCTATAAACTCAATTTTGTTGTAGCGAGTCATCATCTTCACTTATCGAGTAAGACTCTCGATCCTTGTCTTTTTTCATATAGGGTAAGAATTCTAGGTCCTTAGCATGTTCACCCAATAAGATAATTGAACCGGTAAACGCTTGCCAAGACAGGTGTTTTGTAAATGGTCCCTTAAGAGTGTTGACTCTTAAAGGTAAACGTTTACCGAGCAAGTGTTTGATAAACGACACCTTACCTTTAATAGTTTTTCACCCACTAGAGCGAGGATGAAGTGCCCACGGGAAAGCTGGAAGTCCTTGCTCTATTGGCTCATAAATTAGGCAACTTTCATTGCTTTTGTGTGGAAACATTGCATTTTAACATGGTTAATGAGGGTGCATTTGGTACACTAGACATGATAGGACATACAGAACATGAATCCTTGTTCCATGTTTGATAGGACTTTTATGTGAAACAGACAAGAACAGAGTGAAATAAAGTAAACAGACTTGTTCCACCCCTATCCCATATAATGGGATAGAACAAGGTGAAATAAACTTATATTTTACCAATATAACTTCAAAATTAAACTTAAATCTAGTCTAATATATCAAATAAGCCTCTTTTTTACATTTTATTCATTCTTTAAATTTTGTTTATTATATTTTATGCTTTTAAACTTTCATTTTACTGTTCCCAGAATATTAGTTTTATATGGTTTCTATATTTTTATTAATTTATGTAGTTTATTATATATTAATAAATAAAAAATAATGTAGATCAAAAATAATATAAAAATTAGAAACTACATAATTTTTTCCTTTTGATTTTATTTTAATTATTTGACGAAAATTTTCTAATAAAAACAATTATTTTATTATAATTTAATAAATTAATCAAAATATATAAACATCTCATTAGGGGTAAATTAGTCATTTTACTTGTTCTGTCTTACCAAACACTGAAAAGCTATTCTGTCATGCCATGTTCTATCCTATTTGGACACCAAACACGCCTGGTAGAACATGGATTCATGTTGGGTGAAAATTTTGCAAAAGGTATCTCCATTAGTTTAAAGTAGACAGTGTTCATATACTACCACTTTTTGTAATAGGGTGAATTTCATTGTTGATGTTGTTTTACTTTGGTGAAGTTGAACGCAGTAAAACACCATTTCTTTGAAGTTCGTACAGAGAAAAAGGAAACTCAATGAGACCTAAGAAAATAAAGGAGTCTCAATGCCATCATTCTCAATTAGATTTTGTACTTGAATAAAGACAAAAAGAAAAAAAACATTTTTATTCAACAATGAATGAGGTTTCATCCTTCATTAAGCAAGAATTGTACGAATTTTCTTGAAATGGATTTTGAGCTAGATTTCATTTGTTATTGTTTATAAGAACCGTGATATCGGTATTGTGGGCCCTCTAATCTACGTTGTGTATGCAAATACCGCCTCTACATAAACCTTTGGAGTGCTCGATTTTGAAATGGAACTTACGACTGAATCATAACTAGTTCTTTTGTTAAGACTTACACTAGAATAACAACCAATTTGGTGGCCTTCCAAAAAGTTCATTATTGGATGTTTGATGGCTTTTGCTTTTGGATAAGTATTTATGTGTTATTATTGCATCTTTGGTTGGTAGCAATCGAATTTCAGAAAATAAAGCTTAATTCTTGTGAAGTCGGAATTCATATGTATCCATCGCATAATTGAGTTGGACAAATGTTTTATGAAGGGTCTTTCCATCGACATAATTGAGTTGGACAAATGTTCTTCTTCTTCATCTAAGCCCAGTAAGCCCTATGTGTGTGTTTTTTTCTTTTTAAGTCCACAATTTGCATTGCATACTCCTATATAAGTCGACAATTTGCATTGCTCACTAATATCACTTACCTTACCAATTGAGCATAGAAAGAACTTAGAATCTTACTTGGTAAGAGGCATAGCAAGGACGATCACTTACCTTACCAATTGAGCATAGAAAGAACTTAGAATCTTACTTGGTAAGAGGCATAGCAAGGACGAAGAGTCTTACCCAGTACTCTTATCCAATAAGCGATTTTACCGGGTTTAAAACACTTGCCAACAATCCATTTTGATGGTCGAGAATGTTACACAATAACATAAGTGAGAGTGATGTCTCTTGTGGGTAAATGTTTGGTAAACTTCTCAATAAACTTAAAAACTTCAACTTCATCATCAGAAATACCAATCCTAAATAACTTGCCTTTTGCCATATTTTCTTTCAATCCTGAATCGGTTATGGATAAATCGAGTCGGTATGGTGGATCGCCCTATATACTCCATTCATCCAAGAAAGTATGGCAAGCAGTTGTTTGTATTAGTGTTTATACTATGTGGAGTTCTTGTAACAAGTGGATATCTAATAGAGCTTTCTTGGACAGATTGGTGTTGTACTTCTAGGGGGTGTTTTGCTCTATTGAGTACAAACTTCACAAGAAATAAGCATTATTTTCTGAATTCTTGATTGCTACTAATCAAAGATGCAACAATAATACATATATATTTATCCATAAGCCATTCAACATCCAAATAATGAACTTTCTGGAAGGCGGTTATTATTCTTGTGCAAGTCCTAACAAAAAAAACTAATCATGATTCAAGTGTTGCAAGTTCAATTTCAGAATCGAGCACTACAAAGGTTTATGTAGAGGAGGTTTGCATAAACCACGTGGATAGGGGGGCCCAAGATACCAATACCAAGGTTCCCATAAACAATAACAACTGAAATCTAGCTCATAATCCATTATTCAAGAAAATCCGTATAATTCTTGCTTAACGGTTGAAAAGAGTGAAACCTCATTCATTGTTGAACAAAAGTGTTTCTTTCTGCCGTTATTCAAGTTCAAAATCTAATTGTAGATGAAGGCATTCAGGCTCGTTTACCTTTTCTTAGGGGTCTCATCGAGACTCCTTTTACTTTGTATGAACTTCAAAGCTTTTACTGTGTTCAGCTTCAGCAAAGTAAAACCACATCAATAATGAAGTTCACCCTATCACAAAAAATGGTAGTATATGCACACTGTTTGTTTCGAACCAATGGAGATACCTTTTGCAAAATTTTCATCCAACACCAAACACGAATCCATGTTCCATCATAAACCAGGTTAAAAATGCAATGCTTCAACACAAAAGCAAGGAAAAACAACACAACCAGCACATATAGCTTATAACATGATTGCTTGCACTTTGCAGATAATCAATAGTTCCATAAAAGCTAGATTTGAACTTCAGATGTATCCATGAAAATTTAGATGAATAAATCTTAAAAACTAGGTTATTTAGATCATTCTAAACCTAAAAATAGATAGGAAACAAGGAAAGCCACCAATTAGTACAAATCTGAATGGAACTAAGTCAACAGACTGTACAATCACCTTATCTAGAAACACATAAATCAATCTAAATTCTTCCACTAAAGTGTTAGAAAAGTTCTAACACAGAGCCTAAAAAGAATGCACAATCATTGAACCAAATGAAGATAGCAGCATTTATCATAATAGAAGATTAAAATTGAGCAGGGGGTTCATAGGATAACCTGTTCTTTTTCCAAGATTTCTTGATCATCTTCACCAAGCATTCTTCTTCTTTGCACCATAGTAATCAAGATACCATTTAACAAATTTCTTCAATCCCGTTTCCAAATCCGTAGTCGGCCTGTATCCAAGCTCCTTATGCGCCAAACTAATGTTCGCATGCGTGAATGGTACGTCTCCATTTCTCGGCATCAAGACAACCTTCTTCTTAGCTTTCACCTTCAACAGCTTCTCCAATAAGCTAACTAGCTTATTCACAGAAACTGGAGACGTATTCCCCAAATTAATGATCCTAAACTGTGCCTCACCCTTCTTCTTCCCTCCACTTCCGGTGCTTTTCTTGGCTGTATCAAGAGCTGATAAACAACCCTTCACAATATCATCAATGTAGGTGAAATCGCGTGCAACAGTAGCATGATCAGGCCCTTCGAATACTGAAATCGGTCGTCTTTTCAATATATCTTTCGTGAAAAAGAAATAAGCCATATCTGGTCTACCCCAAGGTCCATAAACAGTAAAGAAACGTAATCCAGTAATGGAAAGACCATAAATATGGTTATAAGTATGAGCAATCTCTTCGCCTGCTTTTTTTGTGGCGGCATAAAGGCTGGCAGGTTGATCAGTTCGATCCTTTTCCGAAAATGGAACCTTCGAATTGAGGCCGTAAACGGAACTAGAAGATGCCCAGATGATCGCTGGCTGTGGGTTTGTTGATTTCGAAACTTCTAGAAGGTTCACAAAGCCATCTACATTGGATTTAATGTAGGAATTAGGGTTTACCATAGCATACCTAACGCCGGCTTGGGCAGCAAGGTGGAGGACGTGAGTGAAGTGGACTAAGCCGAAGAGCTTCCGGAGGAGAACGGCGTCGTTGATGTCGCCGTCGACGACGAAGACTCCGGCGCGGTCGAGAAGTTGTGATTTCCGTGATTTCTTCAGAGTAATGTCGTAGTAGGAATTGAAATTATCGAGTCCAACCACTCCATCTCCGCGTCGTTTGAGAGCGAGCGACGCGTGTGCACCGACGAAACCGACGGCTCCAGTGACGAGAACTGTGTGACCATTGCGTGAACGAACTTTAGCAGACGCCTTGACCCGATTCTCCCAACCCGATCCACCGTAAGCGGCGGTGGTACGGAGGCCGCGACGAGGGGCGGCGGGGGAAGGAGGCGACAATAAAAAGAACAACATGATTAAGCCGAGAAAAACGAGGGACCAGAGGGTTAATCTGGGAACGGTGGTGTGGAGACGGAAACGGTGATGGAGGAAGTACATAGATGATTTTTCCGGCTTGAATTTTCCGGGAGTCGAAGGGATGTTGTCGATGTGAGAAAGAATGGGCTTCAAAGAGGTCATTTTGTAGGAAAATCGAAGCCCAGAAACGAAGTATTTGTGGGTATTGTAGTTGATTCAAAGAGGGGGTTTTCAGGGATTGAAATTAGGGTTTTTTGAGGGAATTAAACTAGGGTTTTTTGGGGAAGAGATGAAGGGTTTTAGTTTGGAGTTGTGGTTTTGAATGATGAAAACTCCATGACCGTCTGGATTGAATTTGATGTATTCCTTCTGCATACGTCTCTAAAACCACTCTTGTTACAGACGGCGATGACGGGCCGGTAGGGGAGAAAGATACCGAGTTAAAAGGAGAAGAATTAAAATTTAAAAATAAAAGAAATCTTTTATTGATTTTAGTTTACATAAAAAGTCCATGCTTATTTTTGGAATTGATATTGAGTGAACATATAAAAATATTTACTTCTCCATGGCCGTCTATTGATGGTATTTATGGGTTGGGTTGATTGTGTTGAAAACATTTGAACAACTTAATTCAATGTTTACGGTTTAAATTTTTTTAACTCAACCTAACCCATAAGCATCCCTACCATCTACATCTATGTATGTGTTATATATATTTATATTTTTAATTGTGTTACCTCAACTTTTATAAAATATCATCTATACACCTACAATTCATACATTTTTAAAAGTGGTTCCCATTATAACATTCTAATTAATAATTATTTTATGTAATAAAAAAGCTTGTCGAACTCCAGGTGACGTTGCAACAAAAATTGCTAAGTGTCATATTTGACCATTCACAATTCCTTTTGAAAGGGTTTTGCAAGTCGTATATGGATGCTTTGTACGTGTTTTTGTCAGAATTTTGACTTGTCAAACTAATACGTATCAACATTAGTGTTTGGACTTAACTTCAACTTCTATGTACTTCGACTAATTCCAAAAATTCTAGAGAATAACCAAAAAATTACCACCAATTTTGTAGATCTCGAATTACTTACCTATGAAGAGAAGTCTTAAAAATGCGAGCCTTATTTAGACAAAAGTTGATTACCGACAACTCTAACCGTCTTTACATGGTATTTGCCTCTGAAGACACTAATGTGAGGGAATATTTTTTACTAACTCAAAAAGTTGAGGCTTCCCCCCTGACTAAGATAGAACCCGAGACTTGTCTTGTATTTGGATAATGTCACCCCATAGTTTACCAACTGAGCTACACGAAGTATACGCCAGAGACCCGAGCCTTGTCGAAAGGTAAAATACTACTTGTTTCAATTATCTCAAGTAACATATTTAGGGATTGATTTCTATTCTATTTTCCTTTTTGACTTTTACCATGTTTACATATAATGTTCTTTCTGATTATTTGTTAGAAACTGTTTTTAGAAGAAGATAAAGGAACTTGATAAACTCAAGAATCGTGTAGGAAAGTATTTTTCCAAATACAATAATTCGATCTTATTAGCTTTGGGTTCACAAATTTTGCACTGGGATAATTCTTATGTTTTTCTCTATTTCAAAGGTTGTGAAAATCGAGACTTCTACCCAGATTCTCGTTTTACATATGTAAACGAGTGATCAATGGTTATTGACGGTTAGCGATTATTAATGGATAAGATCGATGAGTATTTACAACCGAATATGAGTTATGAAAGATGCAGGTCCAGAGCTTTGGATATACTCGACCAGAGATAAGAGTCATCTTTCGACACACACGTTTCGCAATACGCCGAAGACCAGCCAGAGATAGGAGACATCTCCAAACACACATGTTTAGCAATAGGCCGAAGACCAACCAAAAATGGCTAGCACGATCAGAGCTATCTCTGGCCCAGAGTCGAGACTTATCAAATTTCGAAGTCTGAGAAATACAAGTCTGGCCACGTACGTCCAGAACTTCGTATGCATTGTTTCAGAGTTACGATTTAGTAACGGACGCGACCCCCTTGACCCCACTTTATGGCGTTCTAAGATGATAGGGGCAACATTTGTAAGCGTGCACTCTGCACCTCATAACCGACGTATGTTTGCCTCATCGACTTAATCGATCTCAAGTAAATCACAATTATACCAAAATGTTTGATGACACTTAAATCAATAACACAAATTTGTTTTGGAAACTTGATGTGTAATATTCCGACAAAAAATAATATTAACGTTTTTTTTTTAGTTTCATCAAAATAAATAAAACTAAGTTTAAGCTGACATAAAGGCCGTCAGGTTTGCTTAATCAATCATTTATTCTAATTAACCTGCATTCATGCCTTATTAGCTAACTGTAATCCTGACACTGCAATTAAGTCATAATAAAAACCCATACTCTTGCAATCAAAACACATGTTGGTTATGAATTCTTTTTCATTGTAAAATAAAATGTTAAATTTTGATATAAATGGGTATTTAAACCATACGCATTGGTTCGTTTTGCATTAAATAACTTTTTGTGTAAAAACATGTATGATTATTAATTTTAAAAAATGGGATCGATAACGAACAATATTTATGTAAGATCATTTATTCTTTGTAGGTTGGTGTATAAAACAAGGGTAATTAACAAAAATTTAAACGAAAACAATGACAATGTACAATAATTAAAATGCGACAATTCCGAAGAAACTTCAATAATAATCATTAATCACAAACGTACAAATTTTGAGAGATTGGATATCGTCTTTGTTTGTCTTTACCCATAAGTAAAGCTATATATGGCTATCGAGTATTGATCGTCAAGGTTGTGTGTATTAGTTTGAAAAAGACATACAACTAGTATTATTAGTCGATTATATTATGGCCTTTAACGACAATTAACTAGTTTTAATGAATTTTACGTTAACGAACTAATATTTTTTAGAATCAATTATTTATGACGATTATGATACATTTAAATTCAAAAAGTGACGATTTATTTGATAGATGAAATCAATATTAGGTACACCATCTTAATAAATTCCGCTATCATAAGGATTTTAAATTCGAATACAACGCTTTATGAGGATTGTAACTTTATAATGCTTGTTTTAGTAAAAAAAATTATAAATAATGCATTTGTAATATGTTCGAAAAATAAATTGGCTTATAGTTGTCAAACATGACCTTAAATACAAAGACATGTATAAGCAGTCAAGGAAATGGCCTTACCCAATTTTTCACACACACACACACACACACACATATATATATATATATATATATATATATATATATATATATATACAAGTCAAGAACAAACCAGAAAATGAACAATATGAGTTTAGCTTGTAAATGTAACAACACGTGAGGAACATGAAACTAACGACAGATACCAAAAGAATACCTACAACTATCAGGTTATAAGATAAAGTATCATTATAGGCAATATTTGATTTGTTTGCTTTCCTTTAAAAATATGAATAAAGGCATCCTTGATAGATTGCAAGAACAGTTGGCATAAAGACAGACAATTTAGATCTGTATTTTGAATATACATTATAGTAACTAGAAAAAATGATACATAAATACGAATTACATCTGTCAGAAACAAATGCATTCAAATAAAACATCAATACATACCAAACATTGATGAGTTGGTGCATCATTTGAATTATGGCTATGTCATCCTAAAGTGATGTTAAATGAATGGAGAATAAATAAATATTGTTACGTGCCAACAAATTGTCATGTACCTACAATAGTACATCATTTATGAGTTTGTTCTTTTTAATGCTAAGATGAAGTTTTCGTTTTTTTAATTGTTTTTTTCTTATTTCGTATAAATGATTCTTTGATATTTGTTACATGGTTTTATTTATTTTAAAGTTCTTTATCAACCTATTGTTTGCATCGTGGGCCAATAATGGCTAAAAAGCCACTAGTTTGGTTGAGATCTTAAGATATCGACATTTTTAAATTTAAGAAATTTCTAATGGATATTGCGAATAGATTAATTTGTTATAATGATCTATTTTGCCTTTAACGTGTAGCTCAGTTGGCAAAAGAATGAGATGACTTTGCCTAAATACAATACATGTCTCGGGTACCCCGACACGAACCTCAACCTTTGAGTTAGACAAAAGAAACCACCTCATATTGGTGTCTTTGAAGCGGGGTTAAAACCGCAAGTAATCAACTTTTACTCAAATAATAGTGATTTTGTCGGATTTAACAACAAATAAGAGAAAAACAAATTTGAAAATAAGCTATTTTGACCGGGATATCCTAAAATTGAAGGTGGGTCATGGTCTTGGTTAAAATCGGGTCAAAACCTCATTCAAATACAGATTAAGGTGTATTTTTGGGCCGTAAACATTTGGGCTTGGTCCGTTCATTTAATTTTGGGCCTGAATTTGGGTCAAAGACTCTTATGCCTGGGACTGTGGTGATGGCCAAAAACCGGTCCCGGGCCGGGCCGTTTCCAACCTGTCCCAAGATTTTTCATAACTAGTCCCAGCCTCGTTTGAAAAAGTTGAGTCCGATCAAACTTTATTGTAATTGGTTATGGGCCGCCGGTCCCGGTTATTAAAAAAAATATATATTTATATATATATATATATATATATTTTTTAATGATATATATTTTTAATATATTATAAAATTTGAAATTGGGTTACTAAAATACACTTTAAAAATATGTTTTATTATAATTAAAATTACATTGTCTTACAAAATATAGCGAGAAATCGATAATTGTGAACGTTTTTTTTTGCGTTTTTTTGCGAATCAAGAACTTGGTAAGTAAATCCTTCAACCAAGACACTTATATATAGTATTTAGAAAGCAAACAAATACAAAAAAGGGCCAAAAAAAGCTACGTTTTTTTAAAAATAGTTACATTTTTTAAAAATTGGTCCGGGCCGGTCCATAACCGGTCCCAGTCCCACAAAACACCCCAAATTCATATCCGGTCCCAGATTTCAGTCTTAAACCGGTCCTTGGCCGGTCCCGGTCTCAGTCCTCCGGCGATCCCGGGCCGGGCCGATTCGGCCATCACTACCTGGGAGCAGGACAACCCAGGTTTTACATGGTTTAATTTGGCTGGTTAACAGTTACATAAAATTGAAATTTAAGTTTATAAGACCAATTTTAAAGAGTCATATACAATAGGTTGTGTACGACTCTTCTAGATGTTTCAACAAATTTTTTAAAACGCTTTTATACAAATTCTTATAAAACAATTTTAAGAAATGTCTTATAAACTCATCTATCTATAGGGCGTTTGTGTTAATATGAAACCTTTGCAATAGTGTTGTATAAAATAACTGATACGACATATTATTTTAAACCCGTCCTAAAAATTTGTTGAAATGTCCAAAGAAGTCCTATAAACCTATTATAATATTTTTAGATTGGACGTTTTTTTGTTTCGTCTTGTAAACTTAATTCTTATAAAATATTATGTTAGAACGTTTAGACATTTTAGGCATCATATAAACCCAATGTTATTTTGGTAAAATACTATAACTGTTAACAATTTCTTTTCACCAAAGTAAAACATAAAATGAGCAAGTCTTTGGATTAATAGATTCGTCAACTAAGTGTCTAAGCATCTATCAACATCATTCATATTCTCTGACACATCCATTTGTTGTTGCTGCAAAAATGATTCCAATAGTTTTCTCGTATTAGATTCTTTGACAGCATTCTTGGTGGTGAATCTCTTTTGATAACTTGTACCATATATGTACTTAATAAGAAATAAAAATATAAACTCAACAAACATTAAATAAATTTTTACATCATATATATATATATATATATATATAGAGGGATGTTATTCTACACCCTTTGTCATTTCTACACCCTATACAACCCTTATCTCAACCATTCAATTTTTAATCAATTAATTGTTTCATAATATAAAGTATTAATCATAATTAATAAACTCTATTCATATTCCATAAATATTCAAATCATAATAAATGAACTCCAATCATTTCTATAAATATCTCAATTAATTGGGTTGCAAAGGTTGTACAAATGCACAAGGTTGTAAAAGAAATATACCCTATATATATATATATAATATTATCAAAGTTATATATACACTAATGATGGGTTTCCGGGCCAATTTCAATGTTCTTAATTGACATATTAATGGGTTAACCGTTTGACAGTTTAGCAGATTGAGTTTAATTGGTTTGTTAACAGGTTGAGTTGGGCCAGTTGAACAGTTTGAGAATTTTTGTTCACCCTTATGTTGAATATTGGTAACTGATATTTCTTCATCCTAAAATCAATATCCACAATTAAAATGACAAACAAATTTATACATTCATAATTATTACTCATATTTGTTAATCAAATGACAATTTCACAATTATTTTATTTCTTTTTTTTCCCAACTCGTAAATATTTATGCATTAATTAATGGTATATTTTGAGAAATTGGTTATCTATTTTTGAAACTAGATACTTATTTTGGGACAAACATAAATAAAAATATGTATACTTATTTTGAAACGAAGGAAGTAATAAATTGCATCATTTAAATTTCTAAAAATGTAAATTCAATCATTGAAATTTCTAGAAATTATGAAAAAGGCTTCAGAGTTACAAACAACAAACCACACACTATAATAGTAGAACGCCTAAAATGATTAAATGTCATAATAGACTAGCTTATATACCTTAAGTTTATAGAGTTAAACAGGAAATCATCATATATAAAAGTGTTACAACAAGTTTATAAGATACTTTTGTGTCTTGATAACTTTTTAGGACATTTTTAAAATAAAATGTCGTATTAGTTATTTTATTATATTTTTTAGAGGTGTTCCATAAACACATATTTTTATAAGACACTTGTTTTTATACTACACTTTTTCAAAAGTGTCATATAAAATAATTAATACGACACTTTATTTTAAAAATGCGTTAAAAAACTTATTAAAATGCACAAAAACGTCTTATAAACTTATTGTAATACTTTTAGATAAAACATTTTATTGTTTGGTTCTATAAACTTAAGTTGTATGAAACATTATATTAAGACATCTTATCATTGTTAACGTTCTATAAACCCAATTTTATTGTAATGAATAATTACGAACAAAATTAATAATTTACTCTATATTTTTCCTCCTCTAGTCATGATTCCATTAAAGCACATAGTTCATTTAACTTAAAATCATTAAGATTGAGAGATATTATAATTTAATTAAAAAACATATAGTTTCTAGTGTTCTCAAAAAAATCTAATTGTAATAACTTTAAAACTATTTCAACCAAAGGTTGAATATACCTAGATTAGGAGTAAAACATATCAAAGGAACAAAAAATATTTTCGCAGATTTGTAGTCTTATATCTTCAATCTCTTCTCTATATGATGGTTTTCTGATGCGAGAGATCCGTGCATAGACGGCAGTCACAGAGCATACGGTGGGAATTTAAACTCAAATGACAAACAAACCAACCCAATGAGATGAGATATTGGTCAAAACATTTAACTTGTTGATGTATGAAAATTCGAAATATTACTGCAAATATATGTTTTCTTTAATTGGTTGAGTATAAATTAATATAGATTTAGTTGTTATCTTAAATGAAGAAGTGACATGTATCCACGATTACATGAATGTAGCCATGTACATGCGTTTATGGGTTTTGAAACCAACAATAAATCTATGTCTTCACATGTAAGGGAAGGGAAGGGGACCTCTTTGGACTTTAAGCTTTAAAGCATTTATATATAATTAATTTGATTGAAAATGACATTTTATTTCATAAGTTTTCGTCAAACAAATCTTGACCCACAACTATTACGTTTATGGACTCGGAAAATAGATCATGAATTTAAGTTCATCACTAGAAAGATACATTGAATTAGTTAAAATACCACCACTATTTCTCCTTTTTATATTTGTGTAGATCAGAATTTTTTGTGGGAGTTGAGTGTTTGGCAAAGAAGAGGGCATGGCTTTATTATGTCATGTGATTATATATATATATGGAAATTGGAGATAGAAAACACATATGCATCTTAATTAAAAATGCAACACCCTACTCAAACACATGCATGTCTTAATTGAAAGGAGATATGCTCCCACTTATTTTCACTTGTTACTCCTCCTTTAATGCGATCCTCCTTCGCTACCACCATCACCACCGCCACCACCACCACCACCACCTTTACCAATTCCACCACCATATCCACCACCTCCTCCAAATCCTCCACCTCCGCCCTTACCAAATCCACCTCCTTTACCTATGCCCCCACCACCTCCTCCTCCAAACCCTCCACCACCACCCTTACCAATTCCACCTCCAGCACCACCACCTTCTCCACTTCCAGAACCACCGCCTGCACCACCACCTAGTCCACCTCCACTTCCAGAACCGCCTCCTACTCCACCACCACCACCAGCACCACCACCCTTACCAATGCCCCCACCTCCTCCAATTCCAGAACCGCCTCCCACTCCACCGCCCGCACCACCACCTAGTCCACCTCCACCACCAGCACCACCACCCTTACCAATGCCTCCACCTCCTCCAATTCCAGAACCCCCTCCTACTCCACCGCCTACACCACCACCTAGTCCACCTCCACCACCAGAACCACCACCTAGTCCACCTCCACCACCAGCACCACCACCCTTACTAATGCCCCCACCTCCTCCAATTCCAGAGCCGCCTCCTACTCCACCGCCCGTACCACCACCTACTCCACCGCCCGTACCACCACCTACTCCACCTCCACCACCAACACCACCACCCTTGCCAATGCCACCACCACCTCCACTTCCAGAGCCTCCTCCTACCCCACCTCCTGTACCACCACCTAGTCCACCTCCACTACCCGCACCACCTCCTACTCCACCACCACCACCCTTGCCGATGCCTCCACCACCACCACCTCCTACTCCACCTCCAACACCACCACCCTTACCGATCCCACCACCACCAGCACCAGAACCACCTCCTATTCCACCACCCTTACCGATGCCACCACCTACTCCACCACCACCACCACCACCACCGGAACCACCTCCTAGTCCACCACCACCACCACCACCTTTACCAACTCCACCTCCACCACCAATTCCCCCACCGGAACCTCCTCCTCCTCCTATTCCACCACCAAATCCGCCACCGGAACCACCTCCAGCTCCACCACCAAATCCAACTCCTCCGCCGATGCCTCCACCATGAATAAGTGTTTTTTCTTCTTCAGAAAGCTTTCTACCACCAACAATGTTAATGGTGCAAATTAAAAAGCCAAGAAATCCAAAAAGGAAAAGCTTTGAAACCATCATATATAAATCTTGCTTAATTAATTAACTGATTTTGCTAGCAAGTGTGTGAAGAAGCATAACAAAATCACAAGTATATATAGGGATCAAGATGTACGCCAATTCAACGAGACAGTTGAGATTTAATTAAATTAAGCAATCTTTTGTTTTTAAAAGTTATAGACATGTAATTAATGTTTTATGCTCTCCAAGCTGTATCCTTTGACAAATTTTCTCCTTATATTTTTCTTTCTTTTACCAAAAAATATTAAATAACAAGATTAAACATATCATTTCCTTGTTAGCATAATATATGCAATAAACATGTGAAATTAATATGCCTAAATTAATAATAAACCATCTTGTGTGTTGATTGAACGATCACCACACTCATTGAAATGACCGTTGTTGCATCTCTGTTGTCTGTTGAAAAGATCAGATTTATCGAGCCCACAACTATAACTTGGTTTTGCACCTTTCCTATTTAAGACTCATTGAACAGAAAAATGGGTTGAACCCAAACCCATTTCTGACTCAAATCCGTAAATAATCACCTTTACAATTAATTATATGGTAAAGGAATGGTCTCAACACTTGTTCAAATCCGTAAATAATCACCTTCACCCATTTCTGCAAGTATATGGTTTCAACACCTATTTAAATAACGGAAAAAAGATTATCTCATAATTAATTAAGTGGATACAACTATAATTAATCAATATTTTTAACAAGAAAAAGGTTTTCAGGTTTTTCATGCATTCACATATTAGTTCTGTCGCCATCACCTTTGGTTTTGAGTTTGACACCATATGTCGCCAAATAAATGCTTCTAACCTCCCACAAATCTTGAAATTTCTACAAAATAATAAATCACACTACCAGCTCCAAGTGATTATATATAACCAAACGATAATGTTAACTATTTAATAGAATATGAAAATAGTTAAATCATGTGTAAAATCACATGTGATTTTATATTAACATTCAAAAAAGGTGTACAAGACCGTCTTTAGGTTTCGTGCAAAGTTGTGTCAATAAGGGACCGACCTACTTCAAGGGTCACAGTTGCACATCAATAAGGGACGGACCTACCTCGTAGTATAATTTTTTTTTAGGTTCGTGAAATGTCCAACCATATCGATTTGTTGTGTGCGACCACACAAATTTTGAAACTACAATAAAAACACAAGTTTTCCTTGGTAGAGTTGGTTTGCAAGACTTTTCTTCCACCCTAGAACCGAGTTCAAATCTTGTTAGTGTTATTTTCTTAGTTTTTTAGATTTAATTTCATATTTTTAAATGTTTCTGGAAGAAAAATTGCAATAAAATAGTTGAACACAAAATCTCGCATATGAAAAGTAATGAACTAACTAACAGACCAATTATGATATTGTGAAAAATATCCCCATTTATTGTTTCGTATAGTTAAATGGTTCCACCATTTGAAAGAATTTTTGGGTCCGTCCCTGGCGTGAATCACATGTGAGTTTGTATGTTAGTGTAAAATCACATATGATTCGATTGTTTTTTTATTTTCTTCAATAAGTACCGTTTTCTTTTGAACCCAACATACACACACTCTCTCTAAGTATATAATATTTATATATAAGAAATGAAACTCACACAGATGACGTATCTGTAATAAAGTTGGAATCTTTGACCTTTAAAAAGGCAAGATTACCCAATACCGTCGAACCAAATTAATTAGCCTTTCGATCAGATGGTAAACATGCCAAATTGAAACGAGTGTTAGTGGTTTGATCTCTCTCATTTACAAAATTTTATCTTATTGGTTTTGAAGTGTTTATGTGAAAGAGAAACGGAAATAGTTACAACCTCATATAATAAAAGGGTTGCTTTCCGTGAGAATAAGAGTTCAAGTGAGAAACGTAAGAAGAAATCTTTACTCTTAGATGCACCAGATTAATCCATGTATCAAACATGATTCATGGATGAATTTGATATTAAAGGTGATCAAAGGTCCAGATCCCTTCTTACACTTTTCATTTAACTCTTAGGAACTATATATGACTTGAAAAATCTAATTAAAAAAAAAACAAAATTTATATATCGATCAAACGCGTTTACAGATCTTGAAAAAAGAAAATGTGACATGAAATACAACCAAGATCTCTTAAACCTTGTAGGTCATATGCATTGAGACCAAAATGGAAATTTGGTTCGAAGTACATAACAATTCTGGTTTAGTTTTCATGTGCATAGCTAGCTAGATAATTAAATGCACCACGTTGGTGGGTTTGTGTCGGTGTGGAGGTCACGATCGTCCTATGCTTTACGTTTTTGCCAAAAATAATATAGACGCGTAAAGTGATTTACTTGTATTGGTTAATCGATTTCTAATTGTTGTTCTAACGGTATATAGTCATGTATTTGCTACCATGGAAGATGATGAGTCGACTAGTTTTCTTAATTAAGATTACTTTTCATGTTGAATTGAATAAAAAATAGAAATTTTTGAGAAAAATGGAAAACTGTAGATCTGGAGGTACGTTTATACTAATGAATGTTTGATAAATGTATAGTATTTTGTACATTAGAAATTGTTTTTAAGACTTTTGATAAATCTGATTTATAAGATAGTGTAGATATAGATATGATGGATTGATTAAAATTCTAAATCCCTCTCAAGGAAAAATTCTAAACTTAAAAGCGAAATTATAGATAAAATATGTTGTTTCAAAACTCATGCTTTATTTTTATTTCATCAATAAAATTAAGACACACGGTGTTTTATATATTTTAAATCTTATTTAATTTAAGTTTGAATTTTATTTTCAATAATATATATTCATATAATTGATAGATATAAATTATAAGAATTTGAGATTTTATTCGTAGACTACATGCAGTTTGCCAAAATCTTAATTTACACTTTATAAGTATGGAGCAATTCACTAGGTTTAAGTTTAGAAAAAAAATACAAATTTGGTCCCTGTGATTTGTAAAAATATCACTTTTCGTCTATGTAATTTTAAAATTATAAGATGACCAATGTGATTTGCAAAAACGTCCGGATTTGATCATTTCCTTTGACGACTATTAAAAAATTCCGTTATATTTTTGTTCTTTTATCGATTTTTTTGTCTTTTGCTCAATCAAATTCAATTTTACGATTTTGATCCCTGTGGTTTTTGACAAAAAACCTAAATCTTGTATATTTTTACTCACAACTTGTTTTTTATTTAGTGATATTAATAATATATAACTGTCTCATGTTAGCTATTATATAATAATGAGATGAATATAATGATACTTTTAGAAATCACGTCTCTCCCATTATCTTATGTTTATGCGTCCTCTCATCTTGCAAACTTGACATTTGACACCCTCCCTTGTATGATCATATATACATCACAAACATGATCACCATTACAACCAAATTATTATTTCTCTCTTTTGAAATAAAATGTTCATAATATAACAGTTGTTCACTCGTTATCTATCAAAAATAAGATTAGGGTTTCAGGATCCACCTCCCATTCTTCAATCATCTAACGAACTTCAACTCAAAGTTAGCTTCTAGATCATTTCATCAGAATTCGAGACCTAAGTTGGAGCCAATAGAATGTGTTGTGTGTTTATCAACCATCAAAGAAGATGAGGAAATGAGAATGTTGAGATGCAACCATGTGTTTCATAGAAAATTGTAACATCCCAAAATTTCGAATACTTAAATATATCAAAACTAATATCCTAAGATCAAACATTTACATTGCAGCGGATATAAAATATCTAATCTTACAAATTATATCACCATCTAACATTACAATCTTGACGAACATACTTTGCTCTATATAACAATGTCTTGATCTGCACATGTCATTCCTTGATGCTAATCCTTAAATATCTCTTTATCCAACTTTTCTTTCCAGTCTAATAGCCTCCTGGGTGAAAAAGTTTTAAAAGAGTTTTGGATGAGCCTTAGGCCCAGTGAATCCACGGTTTTCATGCATGAACAACAATTTTTATAATAAACAATTTTCACGAAGCTTCATAAATTAGCATGACTTGATGAGAATAATATTTTTCACAAAATAAAGATATTATAATGCGTGTCTACATCACAAAGCAACAGCGTCATGGGAGATGTCTACCTCACACAACATTACCTGGCGAACTCACACAGCATGTCCGCACTTACGACTTAGACAAGCTCACAAAGCATGCTCGTCTTTATAATATCATCTCGTAGTACATTCCTATTGACACACAAGTACTCAAAACACATATTATAAAAATATTGAACTTTTCACGCATATATAGCATATTTGAAATCTCGAGAAACTTCAAACAACTTTTGGATAATAAGGCATGCAACCATTTTAAAAATAAATCACGTGTAACTCACCATACAGGTCATAACTCCAAACCGTTCCTCGAAATTACTCATGTTCTCCCAAAAAATGCATCAAACTTGTTGCGCTTCACCAAATCATCCTCATCTTTCACCTCTCTTATACGAGTTTCCTTCCCCGAGAATTTGTCATCTCTATGCTTGAAGACCTCCCCATATATATACTTAGTCATCGGCGGTTTCACGGAATATGAAACGATAAACCAAGATTAATGGTCGTAGGTTTCATGACCATTGGGTTTCTTGTCATTTAATTACATTCAATTTTAGGGTCTAAACCCTTCACTTTGATAGCTTTACACTATAAGTTCTTGAAATTTAACGACTACCAATTCCTTTTTTTTGGGTTATTACAAACTTTCCCCTTAACAAAATTTCGTCCTCAAAATTTGCCGTATGCAAATAAATGAGGGCATCTCAATCTCATCCCCTTATCAAAATATGATGAATCAACTCACTATATCATTAATACTTTGAGTTCCTATTATTCTCAAAGCTAAACATATTCTCTCCCCACTAAAGCAATCAGTGGAAGTTTGTTACCAAAACTTTATCCACCAACACCACTCTACATCTATTCGATCTCATCTTACCATGTGTTACATAAACACATCTCTATCAATGTCATTATATCCAAGGATATTAAATCATCTA